AAAAAAAAAATCGAATTAGGGGTGGGGGGTTTTGCTGGAACTGAAAGGACGCCCTTTAAGCGCCCTTTTGATGTCGGAGTGGGAGTGGTGCGCCGCGGAATGGCCGAAGGGGCTTCACCGGAAATCCGGAATCCGGAAACACAGAGCAGCTGAGCAGAGAGGCATGGAGCCATGGAGGGGAAGTTAGATCAGAGAAAATTTGTGTTTGTGTTTGGTTTTGTCGTGAAATTTTTTTTTAAAGACAAATTGGGTCCTCCCCGAAACGAGATCCTGGTTTCGCCACTTAATATAAATATGATAATTTTGGTACAAAAATATGTCTGATCAATTTGTCTTATCATTTAAAATGTATGTCAATTTTTATATAAATTTCATTTCTTTTTTGGGGCATTATCTTCATTTTGCAGTTCTTCTCTTTTTGTCTGCTTTTATGGCCATTGACCCGTTAAAAAAAATAAATTATAATAAAAAAAAAAAACATAAAAAATCTTCAAGTCTCAATTTATGACCTGAAAAACGCAGTTCAAATACCAAAGTACTATGAAATTAGCGTGTGGATTTAGATAGCGCGCGCTTGGGTACCACGTTTCTTCATACAAAGTGCGATAACGATTGACGACGTCATCCAAATTGTGCTAGTTGTTGAGACTTCAACTAAACTATATATATATTTAATAAATTGTAACTTGTAAAAGAATTAACAGCTGACCAAATTGACAGCGATTATATAAATAGCCTAATCAAAATTGGTGCCTTAATATCCTATTTTTTTTAAATTAATTGTTTATTTGTGCTTTACACCAAAAATCTATAATGTGAATCGGTAAAAGAGACAATTACGAACAAGGGTTGACTCAAGTGGTAAGCAGAAAACTCTTGTTGGAAGACTCACTCACCACTGTCAGGTGTACGACCCGGATTGACCAACGGATTAGTCGGGGTATAACTCCAGATACCGTGGCTGGCTAAAAAAAAAAAGAGAGACAATTACTCACTCTTAAAAAAATAAAAAATAAAAAGGAGTAGGAGCATGAAAACCCAAGATGGAAAGAATATAGTCAAAGATTAAAGAAAATATGCAATCAAACAACCGCCACTGCTTGATCAGTGCAATCCCAAATCAATTGATTCTAGTAACACAATTGACAACAAAATCACATAAATCTTACCTATCGAGGATGATAGCTATTAGCTAGCCTACTCTTCTCAATTCTCATGAAAGAGTGTTCAACTTTACGTGTGAAAATATCCCAAGAATATAACTAAGTCAAGTCGAGATAACTTACGAGATCTTGAACCTTAAACTGCTCCAAGTCTCTAGTCGAATTCACAAGTATAAACAAAACCGAAAAGTAGCAATTTTGACGGAGAAGTAAAACAATAAAAATTGTGTCATTGAGCCTTCATCTCTCAAAAAAAGGAAAATTACAAAAAAAGAGAAAGAGAATATCCTAGAAGAAAAACTTAACAAATGAGGTAATGTTCCTAAAAATTGTAAAGGATGATTTTTTTATATACTACTGCTAGTAGAAAGCTGGTTTCAGACTTTCAGTGGTACAATATTCGAATAATGTGCCAGCCATTGCATCACAGCCGTTTTCTTCGATTACGCATGATTTCCGGTGGCAGCCGGATGACGCTCTCCGGCAAAGTTCCGGTGGCCGACGGTGGGGGTGCAAGGCTTCCCGCCTTGGCCGGGGACCCACGTGCAGCCACTTGGCGATGCGGGCCCCACGGGTCGGCCTCGTTGTAAGGATGGCAGCAAGAGGTTCGTCGACCATGTTTGTTTGTCCTCGTTTAGGATTCTAGCGGCTTGGTTCGGTTTTACGCTCGATAGCCAAAATATTGACAGCAAAATGGCTAAGGTTACCATAAATTTTTGGGACATCATGATGTTTTGGTGAAGAAGATGAACTGAATTTTG